AGCCTCGACACTTATTTTTGTCCACAGTTTGGCGTATCAACCCCGACCTTTATTCCCTACACCTCAATATCCAACCAGTGACGTATCAGCCCCCTGACCCTGATACTCACCCATTCGCTTCACAACATAACCTTAACTCTCACCAGATTCCTACATGCAACTAAGCGATGACCCATGCATCAATCACCTCATAACAGACCAGTATGCGATATACAGAAAACATACATAAATACCAATCAACATAAAATAGCCTAGCGTGATCCAACAACAACGTGTATAGTTCACAGCCAACAACTTGATCAATATACATTCAATAGATACCCAACATACTTCAACACAACACGCTTCTAACAAACATTCAGTATGCTTTCGAAATAACAAATTATAGTACCATAATAGTTAACATAACTTTCACATTACAGCCCAACCAGAACACAACATCAGCCACATTGTCAACCATTATTACATTCCACCTGTCTAGAGCTCATGATACAATATATATCATGCAATTACATTTGTAAGGTAACCTCAATCACAAACAATCATGCAACTGACACTCATAGGCACACAACAAGCAACCAATTCATAACAGCATACAATAAACAATCCCCTTAAGTAAGAACTACTTACAGACAATGGCCCTGATGCTACTAAGCTCGACAAAGGATTCCCTAAAACAAACGAGATTACATTTACGTTATAAATCCATTGGAAACACTTAAATTAATCGAAACCAAGCTTGGGGTGATTCGTTACCTACTAACTCGCACTAGAATCTCCAGGGTTAGGAGTGGGTCAACACCAAGGAGGTTCGGGGTCCCAAATTCGAGTTCAAATGGCCATAGGATTGCTATTCCGATGCCAAAACTGATGGGTAACGTCGATTTGGGTCCGATTAGAGATGAGTCAACGCTGAAATAATGCCGAATAAAGTGGGTATCATGAATCAAGTTCCGGTTATGTGTGGGTGATTGTGTTAATAGTAACATAGAATACCAGAAACCGATCTACTTAGCTATTTATTTTGATGCATTATGAATGTATTTTTATTGTGAATTATATGTTGCATAAAGTAAGACATATAGTTTTAAAATCCCGCCATATGTTAAGCATGATCATGCATCATATGTATATAATAGTTATAATGTATGATAGCATGTTTTATTGTCATAATTGATTAATATATGTGTTGTATTAATCAGATGAAAATAAAGTTGCATTAAGAGTTAAAAATTTTGGCAAATAGAAATTAAAATCTATAATTAAGAATTGCATGCAAACATAGAGTCTAAGTTAATTAATTTTGAAGGGATTTAAAATTGATTAGACGTTAGGTTATATCTTCTAATATGATTAGGGGTAGTCATTTATCTTGTCTTATTTAGGTTTAAAATGAAATAATAAAAATACTAAATATATAATATTGCCTATAAGCTGATCGTAAGGGAACACCTCTACCTGGGGGTTGAATTAGTATATATTATTAGATAATGTGTACGTAGTTCCAAAATTTAAAAGGAACTTAATTTCAATTTCTTGTTTTATATAACATATGTACTCCATTTCTTTTAATACAAATGAGGTGTTCATTTTTAGAAATGGTGTGAATATTTGTTTTGCTAAACTTCAAAACAACTTGTAAGTGCTAAGACCAACCATTACTAAAGCAATTTAAATACTGAGTTGATTAAAAATGTTAAAACTCAAACAAAAAGGCAAATAGTTTCTCCCTAAAGAAAATGTCCATCTTTGGCAGTTGAGATTGAGTCACATTAATCTCCCTAAAGTGGCCTTCTAAACGAGTTAGAAGATGACTCTTTACCACCATGTGAATCTTGTCTTGAAGGCAAGATGACTAAAAGACCTTTTACTGGAAAAGGTTACAGAGCCAAAGAGTCTTAGAACTTACACACTCGGACCTTTGTGATCCGATGGATGTTAAAGCTCGAGCAGGGTATGAATACTTCATCTCTTTTATATATGACTAGTTAGATTCGCGTGAATTCCACATGGATTAAAAATTTTAGAATGTAATTTTTATGGTGAAATTTTAAATTTTAATGAATATAATTTTGTTGATGCTTAATTATTAAATATTTCACATGAATTTTAAAAATAATGAAAGCAAGAAAATGATAATAAAAACACATCATAGATAATTAAAGTTTAAATGCATGTATATAGGAAGAAATTTTGCCATGTTGATAGTTAATACTAAAATTTGAATTAATCTTCATTTAAAAATAGTAATATACTGCATGATTGACATTAAAAAAAATGTTAAAATTTTAAGAAGATAAAAATGTAAATTATGCGATTCATGGAATGGCTATTAAATCGAATGATAAATAGGTAATTATAGTACCAAAAAAAAGTGAAATATGTAATTTCTTTTATTTATTCCAGATATTTTGTTGAAGATCTTTACTAAAAAAATTATGTAAAATATTTAGTTTATGAAAAAAAAAATACTTATTATTATTACTCTTACAATATATTTTTTTTATTTTCATAAAAGAGATATTGGGTTATATTTTAAAGTTATAAAATATATTTCACTTAAAATATTTTTAGGGAAGAAATTAATTACTCTGAAGGGCAAAATAGACATGTTTAAGATATATGTATTAAATCAACAGACACATCGACCAATCGCATCCCCTGAAAGTTTGAAGGGCAAAATAGGTATATATTAAAAATTTGAGGGTAAAATTGGTAGAGAAAGATTATCCTCCATAACCCCATTTATGTATAGTATAGATTATTCAACGTATGGTTATCTATACCCAATGCAACACAAGTCTGAAGCCCTTGAAAAGTTCAAAGAGTACAAGATTGAAGTTGAAAATCAATTAGGCAAGACCATTAAAACACTTCGACACAATCAGGGAAGAGAGTATATGAGCTTGAGATTTCAGGACTATATGATAGAACATGGAATCACACCCAACTCTCAGCCCTTGGTACAGCTCAACAGAATGGTGTATAAAAAAGGACAAATGACATAACCCTGTTAGACATGGTTCGATTAATGATGAGCTATGCTCAATTGCCTGACTCGTTTTGGGGTTACGCAGTATAGACTACTGTATACATTTTGAACTTAGTTCAATCGAAAAGTGTTTATGAAAGACCTTTTGAACTATGGAAGGGTCGTAAAACTAGTTTACGTCACTTCCACATTTGGGGATGTAACACCCCGAGTTTTCGAGTTATTTTTATTTTAAGATTTAAATTGTGCATTTGGATTTTTCCTTCAGCTGTTAATTAGATTATTTGATTTCTAATTTGAAGTTCTAATTTGGGTAAATTAGAATTAAGTTGAAATTCGTTGGATTAAGATAAATTAAGTTTTCGAACTTTGGAGGAGATTTTTAATTAAATCTTAAATCTAAGGTTTTGGGAAGTTTAATTTTTAATTTTTGGATTTTATTCTTGGGTTTTAGAGTTTAAGTTAATCATTTTATGTTGGGTTGTTGTGGATTTTACTTTTATTTACTAAAGTGTTTCCTTTGGGATTTGGTTTTAGACCTTCTGTTAGGATTGAGAATTTCTGCTTTTTAGTTTAAACCAAAATTAAGGAATTTGGAATAAAAGAAAATAAAATAAAGGAAAATGTTTTAAAACAAAACAAACCCTACAAAATTCCAATCTATTCCTCCTCCCTCTCCCTTGTAGCCGCCACCCACACCACCCCCCCCTTTTTGCCCAGCCTCCTTCTCAAGTGGGCACAGTTTGTCGACGGAACCCGAGTAGCCACTGCCTCTTTTGACCATATATTAAGTGGTGAACGGCGACACACCCACGGACTGGAGCATGTTCTTCAACTCTAGGACGATTTGCGGTGTTTCCTCATGGCGGCGCAATCTCCACAGCGACTCGAGCTTCAATCTAGTGTGGCGGCACGTCTTTACGACGATTCTAGCTTTGATCCAGCAACAACATTGGTCGTGGTGTGCGTTTCCCTCCGATCCCTCTGATCCACGATGTTTCTTCTTCCTCTACAACGGTGCAACATCTGGCATAACATAGGTGGCAACTCCAATGGTTCTGTGCGACGGCAACGACATATTTTGAAGGTTGTTTTGTATTTCTACAGCATATCCAACATTTTGGCAACGTCTCAACCATTTAGAAGTGACCCACGACTCATAGTAACCTAGACTCGGTGGCTCGTGCTTCTATTATAGCGCCCAGCAGCGTCGAAAGTGGATTTGGAGTGTTTAGCCCTATTGTAAAATGCAAACAGCAGCATTTTATGGTGTTCGACGATTACCTACATCTGCTCGAAGTCCAATTTACGCTACCCATGCCTTTGCAAGCTAGATCTAAGTTACCCAAACCTACACGATGTCAATTTTGCGGTAACATGCCCTTTGAACCCTCTTATAATTGATTTCGAAGGCTGTAACGTATATATAACTTGCTATTTTTCTGTTTTTAATGCTAAAGTGTGAGATCGACGCAAGACTGAAGGGCGTGGTTATGTCTAAGTAGCATGAAGGGGTGGGTGCATGCGTTACTGGGTGTTATTGGAATGGTTTCGTGCTGGACTTTATTATATTAATGCATCTCATGTATTTAGAAATCATTAGGTTTGGTTTTATGAACTACTAGTGGATATGGTTGGGTTGCATGTTGTCGTTCCTTTTGATATGCATTATGAAAATGTATTGCTTTTAATTGTTGCATATGACTGGAAAGTTTTTGATTAGTATGGTTTGAAGTGATTAACCTTTGACGTTTGAAAGCATGTTTGAGATTAAATGCATGTGTTAGTTTTATATTATTTAGTTTTGTGTTTTCTTTGTTGGAAGCTACTGGTTATTGCTTTTGCTCTGTACAATGAAAAGCATGCTGGAAAATTGTGTTGTGATTAAAAGCGTGAATAGCTTGTAGATGCCTTGGAGGGATTAGTTGGAGTTGTTTGAGGTGGTGGAACGGACTATCTGTGATTTGTCTGAAGTAAAAATGAAGACTATTCATTTGGTTATTCAGAGTCCTTATTGTGGGTGACCTGTGAATTATGTGATAGAATCCTAGCAGACGGCTATGATTCGAATGTGCGGTCTATCGTGTAATGAAAAGTGGATAGACGAGTTTCATGGCCTCGTGGGAGATGGTCAAGGCGGTTACGTCACTACTGGGTGTTGAGGCTCCAGGAGCAAAAGGTTGAAGTTCGACAGGCCAGTCTTAGTAGAGATGAGTGTCGAGGCTCCAGGTACAAAAGGTCGGGAGTCGGCATGATGAGTCTATTTCGTGATGAGTATTGTGTCTTGATGTGGTGACGGTCAATGACCAATACGCTGAGTAGTTATCAAGACCTTGGGGATAAATGTCAAGGGTCGATGCACAAATCAAGGCCTTGGGAATAAATGACAAGGTTAAACGCCAAGCTTCTGTAGAGGATGTCGGGCCTTCGGGATAAATGTCGAGGGTCGATACGATTTGAATAGTTAGACTTGGAGGACTAACATAGTATTCATGGGTTTGAAGTATTATGGAGGAGCCTAGTTCGAATCCTTGGGGATAAATGTCAAGGTCGAACGCCAAGTTTCTGTACAGGAATGTCAGGGCTGGGGATAAATGCCAAGGATCGATACGATTCAAAGAGTTAGACTTGGAGGACTAACATAGTGTGATGGTTTAGAGTCAGCGTGAAGGAGTTAGAGATCAATGGTCCTTGTGGTCGAAGTTACTTGAGTCTTGATAGCTTGGATGCTTGTATTTGCGTGTTGATTAACCGTTATGATCTATCGGTGCATGATTACTTGTTATCGCATTGTGATTACTGTCGTGATTTCGAGCATGTTGTTTTGTTATTGATGCATGTTGTTGCGATTACGTTGATTGCATGTGTGTGTTAATGAACGTTATGATTTATTGATGCATGAATGCTACTTTAATATTTTGTAACGAATGTTTGTACTAAGCATGTTGTTTGTGCGTAGTTAGAGAGGGCTGCTTACAGAGTATTTTTATACTCACCCCCTCTGCAATTTATGTGTTTAGGTAAGGATTCAGGTTACGTTCATGGTGATGGTGTGGAGGATACTCGAGAAGAAAGACGATGACTAGTTTTTCGTGGTTTCATTGGGATTATAACAGGTTGTTATGAGTTTATTTGTTTCGGTTATGTACTATATTAAGACCTTGGTTGTGCAAAGTTCAGGTGGTTAGTAAAAGCTTTAGCTTGTTTTATTATTGAGTTTGACTTCTCCTTAAAAGTTAGGTCGTTTGATCCATTGAAAGTATGTTAAGATTGTTTATTTTAAAACTCGTTAACTTTAGAAGTTGGGGCTTGGATAAACTCTTTAGTTGGATGTTTTTCTTTCTTTTAGTGTTGTTATCATAGTAGCGCATCGGAAGCGTGGTGGATTTCTGCATTTAGTTGATTGCTATTATTTTTGCATGGTTAAGTCACTGTCGAATAGGTTGTTGGACTATTGTCGTTTACTCCAAGTTCGTTTAGCTTTAACGCAAGTAGAAGAGAATTGTATTACTTGTCTACGGAGGACAAGTTATTTTGTTTATATGCAGGTGAGAAGTTCACCGGTTTAAGTTGAATAATTAAAAGGGTTGAATTTTTGCTTTGTCTGGGTGGTTAGTGGTTTTACTCTCTTGTATAAGCGGAACTGTTTAGGTTGTTTAGTAACGGTCCTCATTCCTGGATGTTGGAAATTCTGGGGCGTTACAAGGGATGCACGACACACGTGCTTCTGACCAACTCAAAGAAATTGTAGTATCGTTCAAACGTATGCCTATTCATAGGTTACTCTAAAGATACGATGGGTGGACTCTTCTTCGAATATTAAGAAAACAGAGTGTTTCTTTTGACGAACGCCATTTTCTTGAAGAATATCACATTCGAGATCATAAATCACAAAGTAAAGTAGTGGTAAACGAGTTTTCCGAACGAGTTTTCCGAAGAGGCTACAAACATGTCAACAAGAATTGTTGATCAAGCTGGCACATCAACAAGAGTTGTTGATGAAGCCAGTACATCACGTCATTCACATCCACCTCATGAATTGAGGGTGCCTTGACGTAGTGTGAGGATTGTGTCACAACCTGACCATTAGGTGGGTTTAATTGAAACCCAAGTTTTCATACCCGATGATGGCATCGAGGATCCATTCACCTACAAATAGGTAAAGGAAAATATGGACAAGGTCAAATGGGTCAAAACCATGGACTTGAAAATGAAATCTATGTACTTCAATTCTGTTTGGGAACTTGTATACCAACCCAATAGGATAAAACTCATTGGGTACAAATGGATCTATAAGGAAAAAGAGACGCCAAAGGAAAGGTACATAGTTACAAGGTGAGGCTTGTGGCGAAAGACTACACACAAAGGGAAAGGGTGTACTATGAAGAAACCTTCTCCCTTGTAGCTATGCTCCAAGTCCATAAGAATACTTTTGTCTATTGCCACATATTATGACTATGAGATTTGACAAATGGACATCAAGACTACTTTTCTGAATGGCAATCTTGAAGAAAGTATTTATATGTCTCAACCCGAGGGGTTCATAGCTCAAGGTCAAGAGCAAAAAGTCTGCAAGCTTAAACGATCCATTTACGAATTAAAACAAGCATCTCAATCTTGGAACATAAGGTTTGATACTGCGATAAAACTTATGGTTTTGACCAAAACGTTGATTAGCCTTGTGTATATAAGTAGATCGTCAACAACATAATAGCCTTCTTATTTGTATGCGATGTCAGCTTTACGAGCTGCAATCACACCAAATGTTTTGATGATAACAAGCTTTATTTACTAATGATTTTAGAGTTCCAAAGTATCCATAGCGTATAGATTTGAAAGACGAATTCAACACATTTTGAATCACTCAAATCAAAGTTCAAACGAATAAATTATAGCCAAAACAAGTTGGGGAGGAAAAAACAAATGTGGCAGGTGACATGGCATCTAACAGTTAAATTATGTCACTATGACAATGATTTGGTAGTAACGTGGCATCAATAAATTTGGTGACGTCGTGGATGACGTGGACGGATCAGGTGACGACACGTGGCGCTTTCAATTTCAACAAATTAAATTCCCACAATTCTCTGAATTCCACAATCTTTTCTCAATTTCACATAATTTCTCAATCTCCACCAATCTCTCAAAATCTCCATAATTTTCTTCATTCTTTTCCTTATCTCTACTTTTAATCTTAATCATTAATCCTTTGTTGCCCTAAATCCAACGACCAAATTTCATCTTCGAAACTCTATTTAAAGCCACCAAATTTCACCATTCTTCACACCAATTATCAGAGCAAACATTCTGCTCTCTTCAAATCACTTTGCTCTCAAACTTTCATTCTCTCCACACAAAAAGTTTCCAATATTTGTGTGAGAGATAAATTATCAGTGCGAAATTTGCAAATTCACCTTAGTGAGGTATTTTCTTTGTATTGCACATTTCATATTTTTTGGGTTTTGTATTAAGGTGTGGGTACACCTTCGATTGTGAGAAAACACAATTGGTTGGATCTTGAACCAGTAAAAAAGATTAGGCGTTTCTCTTTAGCCTAGGAAATAAAAGAGGGTCAATCGGTTTGCTTCTCACCCGTAAGAGAACCAGCGTATTAAAATACCTAAGGAGTCTTGGAGAGGGAGTAGGGATTTTCAAACCACTATAAAAATTCCTAGTGTCATTTCTTTCTCCTATTCTTTTCATTTGTTCATTTAAATTTCGTTTGATTTTTTGTTATTCTTAAAATTATTTTTTAAGTATACATATTCGTAAGCAACGCTATTCACCCCCCTCTAGTATTGCCATATCGATTCTACATGCATATGATATCCTACTCATTGGTAATGATGTAGGATACCTCACTTACATAAAGAAGTGGCTAGCTACTGAGTTCCAAATGATGGATTTGGGAGAATCTCAGTATGTTATTAGCATCCAAATTCGAAGGGATTGAAAGAAAAAATGCTACAACTATCTCGAGCAATTTATATCTACAATACGCTTATTCGATATTCAATACAGAATTCCAAGAAGGGCTTATTGCCTTTCCGACATGGAATTCATCTGTTTAAGGAACAATGTCCGAAGACACCTCAAGAAGTCGAGGATATGAGACGTATACCCTATGCTTTAACAATGAGCAGCCCGATGTACGATATGCTGTATACTAGGCCTGAAATTTGCTATGTAAGAGGGATGGTCAGTCGGCATCAATCCTGCCCGAGATATGATCATTGGACTCCTGTTAAGGGAATCCTCAAGTATGTTAGGAAAACGAGGGACTATAAGCTCGTGTATGGCTCTAAGGATCTGACTTCCAAACAGACAAGAATTATAGGAAATCTACGTCGGGGTCAATATTCACTCTTAACAGAGGAGCAATAGTTTGGCGAAGTATCAAACAAGGATGCATTGCAGACTACACCATAGAGGTTGAGTACGTTGCAGCTTGTGAAACAGCAAAAGAAACGGTCTGGCTTAGGAAGTTCTTAAATGATTTGGAAATTGTTCCAAACATGAACATGACCATCACACTTTGTTGTGATAACAGTGGTGCTATGACAAATTCTAAAGAACCTCGATGCCACAAGAGGGACAAGCATATCAAAAGGAAGTACCACCTTATACGAGAGATAGTGCAACGAAGATATGTGATCGACACAAAGATTGTTTCGGAGCACAGCAGTTTTGATCCTTTTACGAAGGCGCTCTCGGCTAATGTATTTAAGAGCCATCTAGAAAGTCTAGGTATACGAGCGTTGTACAATTAGTCTAGGGCAAGTCGGAGAAACGTAATGGGTATAGTGTATGTCCTAGTTTATTGTATTTGTTCCTTTGCTTTATGATCATGTACACCCCACTAGAGTTTAGTTCAAGTGGCAGATCGTTGGGTGTGTTGCCCTAAACTCGTAGTTTGTAATTTTGTAAGAACAAATTTATATTTAGTAAAGTTTTGTTTCTTTTGTTGAATCAATATGTTGTCAAATTTACAACATTTCATTGTCCAAATCCAATAAACTAAACATCCAAGGTTGTTATCATACAATCGGGCCAGTATATATACTGGTTATATATGTGATATACATTCGACATACAAGTGGATAATGTCAGAGAATAACCTAAAGGGTCTATAGTATATGGACGAGGCGGGATACCTTATCTTAGCAACACTATGGATATGACACACTTTGTAAACGTTAAAAACGACCTGATCCAGGTCGTTTGTGTGGAGAGATGCGAGTAGGGGTATCCTATACAATGAGTTTGTATAAGATCGGACTGTGAAATAGCCAATCTTTAGATGCAATGTCGTTGAATAATAGATTGATATTTCATTGAATGACCAGACAACTCATTTTTCAATCCTGAGTGAGTTATAGACTTCTGCCCGTGAGAGCTCATTCTTATCTGTATGGGTGAGAGTGGCCGGAGTCGACGACTCAAAATTCCTACCATTTTAAGGACGAGACCGTCTGGGAAGCTGGGAACATAATATTACAAGGTGGAATTCACTAAGAAGAGTAGATGAGCGTTCCCTTTAGTACTGACTTCGATACTTGAACAAAGGGCCCCACCCTCTCACTAGTCAGAGAGTGACTTCCAGTTATTGGTCGGACCTATAACCGGGCTGTTTATTAGACTTACTGTACAAGATGTAACACAGGAAACAATTTAACCCATCTGTGGTTACGAACACTTGTGAAGGACTGACTTAGTTAACGGTCGATATCTATGGACGCAGAAATATTTGATAGTGAGAAGAGTCAGTTGCGGGATTTTAGTAGATTAACCTGCAGTTAACGTATGTTAATTATGGTGGTTAATGAGTTTAACCAATTAATCTGGTAACGTTTAAGCTCCTCATCTATACGTCCATTATGTCCATTTGCTAGCTCTTATAAGGTAAATAAGAACATTACATCTTGGAAAGAATATGAATTGTTCAAATTTAATTAAAGGGAATTTGATTTTTTTTATAAGGGAATTTGAGTTAATTGTGTATGACACAATTAATATAATATATGATGATGCATTATAGAACTATATAATATGAGAGAATAATGTGAATTGGATTCATATTAAATCTATAAGTTAATATTTAATGTTAATTATAATCATATTAAATACTATAGGTGACGACGGAAATGTGTATTTGAGTATAATTCAAATATTAATTGATTTAATTAAATGTGATTTACCTGAATTATGTTTA